TTACACTCCAACACACGCAATAAAAAACGCCACATTCGAGCGCCGTAAATGACAACTTTTTTGAAAACGATGTTATTATTGAAAACGGATGGGGGGGAATATTAGTTTCTCTAAATACCCGGCTATGTGTAAATGTGGTATTAGACTCTCCAAGTATATTAATAAAGTATATCTTCTATTCAGCTACAGACAGTTCATGCTGGTTTATTCCCAGTAAGAACATTATTTGTTGTTGACCAGAGTCCGTTTGGTCCACACTTCTCTTCCCAATACTTCCTGTTTGGAGACACGATTGCAGAGTTTTTAAAAGCATTTATTGTTCATTGTTACAGGCTGATATTGAAACTAAATATTACAGGAGATGCAGAACTTTTAAAATCACATTTCAGCAATCTCATAAGTATTTTTATAGTAGTATATAGTACCACTATCTGCTAGTGGCAGCTCAAATTGTACTATAGTTTGAGAAGCAGTGCTCTAAAGGATAAGTGATTATGTCTGATGGATGGTTTGTTTCTGCACAGACATATCACTTTCCATAACCAATGCTCAGAATAATCTCAGACCTTGCGGACGACTGCTGCTCCAACACGCTTCCTGTTTCGAGCAGCTTTCGGGAATACTTCAGAGGAAAGGCCTCCACAGGGCAGTTAATAGAACAGCAGATTAACTCTTAAGCTGCTCCCTCCCTCCATCACATTACATCTCTAATACACTCCTAAAGGAGAGCGTCCATTAGCTAAGAGCACCGTTAATGTGCGCCGTCTCTGGTGACATATATACAGTGGCGGTCCATAACTAAGTTTCCTGGACTGTAAACGGTGTCTGCTGCTGCCTACCTGACAACTTTAACCATCTTGGGATTACATTCACTCAGCAGAGAAAGCAGCGTCTGCATCGTCCTTCCAGTCTCCACAATATCCTTTTTATAGGGCAGGTAACAGGAAGTGGTCACGTTAAAAGGGAAAGCAGAAACAAAACAAAAGAAATATTACTTCAAAATAAGACATTTATACGACTAATATATTATATTAAGTTAGTTTTGTAGTTTGTATTTCAAAAAGATGAACTAACTGAATGAATACTGGTGCAGAGAATATTTATATCATCGTGATCAATACTGGAAATCAGTGAGCAGGACGGATGTATGGTAATGTTGGATTGAAATGAGGATTTGATTTGATTTGCCAGGTGTTTAATTAGCTATAATTTACCAAAACCAGATATCTATAAACAGTTCCTCAATTGAGTTTCCAGAAAAATGTACAACAGCACGATTACTGATAACCATATTAACCACAATACAAAATAAAAGTCTTACCTCTACAATCAACACATTCTGCAGAAAAGAAAAGAAAGAACAGGTGATGAAGTATACATGACTGTGTGTGTGAGTATTTCTGCCTGACAAACACTGGACTAACCTTGCCTGAGAGATTGGACAGCTCGTCCCCTCCTATGACTTTGACACTGTTTGTTGACTTATCATTCTAGGGGACACAAAGAGGAGACGACATGAGCGGCCTCAGTGTGTAACCTTGTCCAACTCGTTTTATATAAAGACTCAGGAGAAAAATGACCACAAATCACAGGTGAAAGTTGTTAAAAATGTCCACTTCTAATTGAATAAGACCTCACACATCAGCACGAGTGGTTTCCTGGAAATGAAACGGGAAAAAGGCGGCTTACACAGTAGCTCTTCACCCTAATGAAATCCACCGTCAGCGGCACTGATTTATCGCTGTTCTGATTCAGCACTTTGATGTAGTCCAGGAGGTCTGCGAAGAACTTGTAGCCCCCTTTCAGCACACACAGGGCTACGATGTGGTGTCCCCCCATGTCTCGGATTATGTCGCGGGCCAGACGCTCCGTCCTGGACCAGAAGAGAGGGGAGGAAGAGGGGGGAAAGGAAAGTGTAATGATGAATCTGGGCAGGGGAAGAGAGTCTTAACATGATATTGCACTTAAACATAATTGCTTACAGTGCAGTGGACGTAAAGCAGTGTGTGTGTGTGTGAGATAGAAAGATCCAGAGAGTGAGTGTGTCCGGTGATATGAGAGAGTCATTTCCAGTGTTTTTGCTGGAGCTCGTACTGGTTTTACTGGGTTTACCTGTCCATGATGAGTCCATGCGGGATGATCACCTTGTCCAAATCGTTCTCGTAATGTCTGGGGACACAGAAGAGGTCCAGCTCATGGCCCTTCTCATCGTCAGCGATCTGAAAGAAGAAGAAGAAGGAAAAAAGGGGAGAGAGAGAGAGAGACGGTTGGCACTGACAGATAACAACAGTGACAGCCATTATCAACCCTCCTCAACCACCTGTTTATTCCTCACACACACACACACA